TAAGGTCAACAGTTTTTAGTCCTTTTCCATTAATATTAAAATAATTTAAGTATTATAATAAGAACTGGTCATATGCTAATTTAAAAGGTAACACACTAGATTTATTTTATTAATTTTTTATTTTTGGAGATGGGGTCTTACTCTGTTTCTTGGGCTAGAGTGTAGTAGCACCTTCTTAGCTCACTGCAGCCTTGAAATCATGGGCTCATGTTATCCTTCCACTTTAGCCTCCTGAGTAGCTGGGACTACAGGCATGTGCCACTATGCTGGCTAATTTTTTAAGTTTTTGGTAGAGACTGGGTCTTGCTATGTTGCCCAGGCTGGTCTTGAACTGCAAGCCTCGAGTAATCCTCCTGCCTCGGCCTCTGAAATACTGAGATTACAGGCATGAGCCACCATGCCTGGCCTAGATTTATAATAAAAATTATGAGTAACAGCTGGGCATGGTGGCACATGCCTGTAATCCCAGCACTTTGGGAGGCTGTGGTGGGCGGATCACCTGAGGTCAGGAGTTTGAGACCAGGCTGGCCAATATGGTGAAACCCCGTTTCTACTAAAAATACAAAAATTAGCCAGGTGTGGTGGTGCACACCTGTAGTCCCAGCTACTTGGGTGAGGCAAGTGAATCGCTTGAACCTGGGAGACAGAAGCTGTAGTGAGCCGAGATCATGCTACTGTATTCCAGCCTGGGAGACAGAGTAAGACTCTGTCTCAAAAGTAAATAAATAAATAATGGCTTGGGCATGGTGACTCACACAGTAATCCCAATGCTTTGGGAGGTCAAAGAGGGAGGATCACTTGAGCCCAGGAGTTCAAGGCTACAGTGAGCCATATTCATGCCACTGCACTATCGCTTTGGTAACAGAACAAGACCTTGTCTCTAAAAAAAAAAAACAATTAAAAAGAATATATAGCCTTCTCACAGTATCCCATCAATCTTTAGAATGATTCTTCGCTGATTCAGATTCACCCATGAGATCCAACATGTATTTGTCCCACAGTGAACTCCATTCTACAGCAACATAACACAATGGAGTTTCAGTTAATTCCAGAGGCTGGCCAACTACTTACTCAAAGTTGCAAAATAATACAAGCTAGCAAAAAACGTAAGTTAGATCTGAAAACAGAATCAAATCCTGTGAGCCTGAGTCTAAACTTATAGCTCACCAGGATCATAATGTTCTCTTGAAAGGTCAAATGTATTTTTTAAGTGGCTAAAGGTACATCACTTGACAGCAAAGCCAGACTAAGCATAAGAAAAAATACAGACCACTATCTCTTGTGAATATTGGTGCAAAAATCCTCAACTAAATACTAGCAAAACAAATTCAACAGCATATGAAGAGGGTTATACACCATGACCAAGTAGAACTTATTCTTAGAAGGTAAGGATAATTTGAAATAAGGAAATCAATCTGTATAACACACCATATTAAAAGGACAAAGGGAAAATGGCCACATAATCATTTCAAGTGATACAGGAAAGCATTTGACAAAATTTAACACCCTTTCATGATAAAAAATACTCCAAAAGCTAGGAAGAGAGAAGGAAACTACCTAAACAAAATAAAGGATATACAGTAATCCCTTGGTATACACAGGAGATTTCTTCCAGGAGCCCCTGCATATACCTGAATCTATGCATACTCAAGTCCTCCATTTCGCCCTGTAGAATCCCCATGTACAAAAAGATGGCCCTCTATATACACAGGTATCACATCCCTCAAATACTGTATTTTCATTCTGTGTCGGCTGAAAAAAATTTGTATACAAGTGGACTTGTACAGTGCAAAAACATGTTGTTCAAGGGTCAATTGTATATAAAAAACCCACAGCTAATATCATTCTCAAATTGAAAACCTGAAAGGTGTTCCTCTAAGATCAGGAGTAAAACAAGGATGTTTGCTTTCACCACTTGTATTCAACATAGAACTGGAATTCCTAGCCAGAGCAATTAGGCAGGAAAAAGAATCCAAATTGGAAAGAAAGAAGTAAAATTATCTTTGTTCATAGATGACAAAATCTTATGTATGGAAAACTCAAAAAACTTAAAGAACCCATAAAACCTGACAGAACTAATAAATAAATCAGCAAAGCTGCAAGATAAGAAAATCAATACAACATCACTTGTGTTCCTTTACATTACATTAATGAACAATCTAAAAAATGAAATTAAGACAATTCCACTTACTTACAATAGCATCAAAAATAATACAATACTTAGGAATAATCTTAAGCAAGGACTTGTCTTGCAAAAGACATATACTGAAAACTACAAAATGTTGCTGAAAGAAATTAAAGAAGACGTGAATGAAAAGACATCCTATGATCATGGACTGGAAGACTTAATATTCTTAAGATGTGAATGCTAGCCAATGCAATGTCCATATTCAATGCAATCTCTGTCAAAATTCCAACAATGTTTTCGCAGAAAGAGAAAAATCTATCCTAAAACTCATACAGACTCTCAAGAAATCTTGAATAGCTAAAACAATCTTAAGAAAGAAAAATAAAGTTGGAGGTCTCACACCTCCTGATTTTAAAACTTTTGACACAAAGCTACGGTTATCAAAACAGTGTGTTACTGAATACAGATAGACATATAGTCCAATGAATAGAATAGAGAGTCCAGAATTAAACTCCCATATCTATGCTCAAGTGACTTTTCAACAAGGATTCTAAGCTCATTCAATGGGAAAGGGCAGTCTTTCACCAAATAGTGCTGGGAAAAGATATCCATGTGTAAAAGAATGACTTTAGACCCTTATCTAACACCATATACAAAAATTAAAATGGGCTGGGTGTAGTGGCTCATGGCTGTAATCCCAGCACTTTGGGAGGCTGAGGCGGGCAGATCACTTAAGCTTACAAGTTCCAGACCAGCCTGGGCAACATGCTGAAACCCCGTCTCTACAAAAAAAATGCAAAAACAGGCCAGGTGTGGTGGCTCATGCCTGTAATCCTAGCACTTTGGGAGGCCAAGGTGGCTGAATCACCTGAGGTCAGTAGTTTGAAACCAGCCTAACCAGTATGGTGAAACCTCGTCTCTACTAAAAATACAAAAATTAAACGGGCGTGGTGGCATGTGCCTGTAGTCCCAGTTACTCAGGAGGCTGAGACAGGAGAATTGCTTGAACCCAGGAGGCAGAGGTTGCAGTGAGCCGAGACTGCACCACTGCACTCCAGCCTGGGCAACAGAGTGAGACTCTGTCTCAAAAAAAAAAAGAAAATTAGCTGGGCATGGTGGCACATGCCTGTAGTCTCAGCTGCTCGGGGCGTTGAGGTGGGAGGATCATTTGAACCCGGGAGGCGGAGACTGCAGTGAGCTGTGACTGCGCGACTGCACTCCAGCCTGGGTGATAAAGTGAGACTGTCTCAAAAAAAAATAGACATAATAAATATAAGAGCTAAAAACTATAAAACTCTTAGATGAAAACATAGGGGAGAAGTTTTATAATACTGGATTTGGCAATTATTTCTTGTATATGACACCAAAAACAGAGACAAAAAATGAAAAGAATAAACTGACTTTATTAAAATTAAAAACTTTCATGTGTGAAGAACACCATCAATGGGATGAAAAGACAACCCATAGAATGGGAGAAAATACTTGTAAATAGTATATTTTATAGGGGATTAATATCTAGAATACATAAAGAACTCCTACAATTCAACAAAAACAAAACCCATAATTTAAAAAATGGGCAAAAGACTTGAATAGACATTTCTACAATGAAGATATGTAGATGAGCAAAAACACATGAAAAGATACTCAATATTACTAATCAGTAGGGAAATGAAAATCGAAATTATAATAAGATGTATCTTTACACCCATTGGATGGCCATTATCAAAAAAACAAACAAACCAGAAAACACGAAATGTTGGCAAGGATGTGAAGAACTTGGAACACTTGCGCCTTGCTGGTGGGAATATAAAATGGTCCAGCCACTGTGGAAAACGGTACGGTGGTTCCTCAGAAAATGTAATACTAAATTACTCTCCCATTTCTGGGAATATACCCAAAGAAATTGAAAGCAGAGATTTGAATAGATATTTGTTGCTATTTTTTTTTCTTCTTAAGACAGGGCCTTCGTTCTGTTGCCCAGGCTGGAGTGCAGTGGTGCGATCTTGGCTCACTGTATCTTCAACCTCCTGGGCTCAAGTGATCCTCACACCTCAGCCTCCAAAATAGACAGGACTATAGGCATCTGCCACCACATCTGGCTGTTTTTTTTTTTTTTTTTTTTTAAATAGAGATAGGGTCTCACTGTGTTGCCCAGAGTGGTCTCAAACCCCTGGGTTCAAGTGATCCTCCTGCCTCAGCCTCACAAAGCGCTGGGTTTACAGGCATGAACAACCATGCCTGGTTTGAACAGACACCTGTACACAAATGTTCACAGCAGCATTATTCACAATAGCCAAAAGGTAGAAGCAACCCAAATGCCCATCAACAGATGAATGAATAAACAAAATGTGGTATTAAATAGAAAGCATATTCATACGATGGAATATTTTTTCTTTTGTTCTTTTTTTCTTTTCTTCATACAATGGAATATTATTCAGCCTTGAAAAGGAAGAAAATTCTGGCACAAGCTATATGGATGAACCTAGAAAGCATTATGCTAAGCCAGTCACACACAAAAAACCAAAAAACAAATGCCGTATGATTTCACTTATATGAGGAACCTAGAGTAGTCAAATTCACAGAAACAGTAGAATAGTAGTTGCCAGAAGCTGGGGAAAGGGAGAAATGGATACAGAATTTCAGAATGAGAAGATGAAAAAGTTCTGAAGATAGATGGTAGTAATACTGAAAAGCTGCACAACAATGTGAATGTATTTAATACCATTGAACTGTACACTTAAAAATGGTTAAAATGGTAAATTTTGTGTTATGTATATTAGGAAAAAAACAGACCAAAGTCTGTCTCTGTTACTCAATCTTTCTTCCATATTATTTAATATAAACTCTTTTTAAATGCTGTAAAAACACATACCTTTCTGTAAAAGAGTGCTAAGGACCCAGTTCTCTTTGGCCTGCTTATTCCAGTTGAATGTACCTCTTGTGCTTTAGTCAGACTGGTCTGTTTTGGAGAAGCACCAATTAATGAATGAGCAGTAAGTGATACAGGACTCTTGACTTTGGACTCTTGATTTGTATTCATGGAAATAGGTAGTGTGATCTCTGCAGCATCATTTGCAACACCTGAATGTATAAGCATTATTAGAAATAATCTGCATATGTTCTAGGAAAGTTGTCAACTATATATATTTTGTCAATTATATATATACATATATGTGTGTGTAAGAAGGCTACAAAATAGTAATTCTAGGTTATGATTGATTTTTTTTTTTTTTTTTGAGACAGGATCTCCCTTGGTCACTCAGGCTGGAGTGCAGTGGCGCCATCTCAGCTCACTGTGGCCTCGACCTTCTGGGCTCAAGTGATCCTCCCACCTCAAGCCCTGCAAATAGCTGGGACTACAGGTGCAAGCCACCAGGCCTGGCTAACTTTTTTTTTTTTTTTAAGGTGGAGTCTTGCTTTGTCACCCAGGCTGGAGTGCAGTGGTGTGATCTCAGCTCATTGCAACCTCTGCCTCCCAGGTTCAATTCTCCTGACTCAGCCTCCTGAGTAGCTGTAACTACAGGCGCATGCCACCACACCCAGCTAATTTTTAAAATATTTTCAGTAGAGACGGGTTTCACCATGTTAGCCAGAATGTCTCGATCTCCTACCTTGTGATCCACCCTCCTTGGCCTCCCAAAGTGCTGGGATTACAGTCGTGAGCCACCGTGTCCGGCCTATATTTTTTTAGAGATGGGAGTTTTGCCATATCACCCAGGTTAGTCTTGAACTCATGAGCTCAAGCCATCTGCCTGCCTCGGCCTCCCAAAATGCTAGGATTATAGGCATGAGCCGCTGCAGCTAGCCATTTTTTTTTTTTTTTTGAGATGGAGTCTCACTCTGTCACCCAGGTGGGAGTGCAGTGGCCTGATCTCGGCTCACTGAGCCCTCTGCCTCCCAGGTTCAAGCAATTCTCCTGCCTCAGCCTCCTGAGTAGCTAGGACTATAGGCATGCACCACCACACCCGGCTAATATTTTTTCTGTATTTTTAGTAGAGACAGGGTTTCACCACGTTTGCCAGGCTGGTCTCAAACTCCTGACTTCAAGTGATCCACCTACCTCAGACTCCCAAAGTGCTAGAATTACAGGCATAAGCCACTGTGCCCGGTATCCTCACCTTTTTTTTTTTTTTTTAAGACAATGTCTTGCTCTGTTGTCCTGGCTGGAGTACAGTTGCGTGATCACGGCTCACTGTAGCCTCAAATTCCCAGGCTCAAGTGATTCTCCTGCCTCAGCCTCCCAAGTAGCTGGGACCACAGGCACACATCACCACGCCAGCTAATTTAATTTTTTGTAGAGATAGGATATTGCTATGTTGCCCAGTCTGGGTCTCAAACTCTTGGGCTAAAGTGATCCTCTTGCCTCAGTCTCCCAAAGTGCTGGGATTACAGGTGAAAGCTACCATGCCCCATATAAATTCTTATTTTCTAGAAACAAGAATATTCGGTTTTGTTTTCATACTTTAAATTTATTGAAAAAAAAGCAAATTTTGTTCTCATTTTGTATGTGCCTGTGATGCGTTTATAGTTTAAATTTATTGGAAAAAAAAGCAATTTTTTAAACATTTTGAGCACTTGAGATGTTAGTCAAAAAACAGAATTTTTGCTCAGTACATACATATTGGTAAGCTCAGATAAGAACATTTTAAAAGTAGCTCAGAAGTTCGAGACCTGGGCAACATGGTAAAACCCCATCTGTACCACAAATACAAAAAAATTAGCTGGGAGTGGTGGCACTTGCCTGTGGTCCCAGCTACTCAGGAGGCTGAGGTGGGACGATCACTTGAGCCTGGGAGCAGAGGTTGCAGTGAGATGAGATCATGCTGCTGTACTCCAACGTGGGTGACAGAGTGAGATCCTGTCTCAAAAAATAAAAACAGAAGAAAAGAAAAAGTAAAATCAGTCTAAACAAACAAAGAGGACAGTAAATTTATAAAATTTGAAAATAAAAAAAAAAACTATAGATTCAAAACAAAAGACAAGGTGGAGCACAGAGGATTTATAGGGCAGTGAAACTACTCTGTATGCAGCTATAGTGACAGCCACATGTCATTATACATTCTCAAAATCAATAAATTATTCAATACCAAGAGTGAACCCTAATGTAAACTATGGGCTTTGGGTAATGTGTCAATAATGTAGGTTCATCAACTGTAACAAATGTAGCATTCTGGTGTTGAATACTGATAATGGGGGAGGCTCTACATGCCTCTGGTAGGAGAAGGGGGAATATGAGAAATGTCTGTACCTTCCTCTGAATTTTGCTGTGAATCTACAACTGCTCTAAAAAATCAAATCTATTAAAAAAAAAAAAGTATAGATTCAAGAGAAAATAATGAGTTAGAAAAACCATGTGATCTAATCCACTAAGACATTTCTTAAATTTTTATCTCAGAAAAAATATAAAACAAATGCACTATAACGTTACCATGTGATGGAATTATAACTTTATGTCCTGTTGTTCCTGTTAATGGGGCTGTGGCCATTGTTAGAAGAGTTTGACCAGGTAAAATTGATATATTTTCAGCAGTAATGCTTGAAGGAGCGATTTTCAATTTTGTTCCTTCTGTTATGATCTTGCCCATAAGCATTTCCTTTGGGGGGTCCTCTCCAAAGAGTCTTCTCTTAGCACTCCCTGCGGTAGGAGAACTGTAGCGTTCATGGACAGAAATTGGAGACAATGGTTGCATATCTAAAAAAAATAATAATAAATTTAAAACAGAAATGTATTCCAAAATAACAAATTAGGTTTACTCATTCACTCAACAGATAGTGAGTTGAGATACTTATGCTGGGCACTAGCTAGATATGAATAACATGGCCTTTGCCCTCATGGAATATATAGTCTACTGGGAGAAAGAGGCATGAAATAAGTCACTACGGTAAAACGTGAAAATTACAATCACTCATCTTCCTGGTTTCTTGAACCTCTGCCTAAATTAAAGGAGCAAAACATTAAGGATAAAGTAGAGGTTGAGAGGTAGAATGATGTGAGCACTAAATTTTAGTAATAGTCCAATATCTCCCAATCATACCTAGTAAAGAGCACCTGAGAAGAAGGGAAGCAAAAGCAAAATCAGGAATTTGGGTCACAGTTTTGCCTCTTTGTGCATATTTGCACTCCCAGCAATTTAAGACAGTAGCTCTGGCTTTCTAATTTAGTAGATATGGAATCATCTTCAGTAAATCCATCAGAAGACATGAGTAAAGATGATATAAATCTGCTTACCTTGCCTTAATCTGAAGGTTGGCAGTAGTGTGTTGATCAAAAATAAAGTAAGGATTATGGATTTTGCCTTTCTTCCTGTGCTATCCTTTCACAGGATCTGCTTTCCATTCCCTCTCTACCAGCTGCACGGCTTTTTCTAGCCCCTTACAACCCTACATCTTTTCTAAATCTTTTTCTACAATTCTTCCCTCAACCAATGATTCCTTACAGGTAGGTCAATAATATGCTTTTAAAGCAAAAGTATTTATTTATTTATGAGAATGGAGTCTCGCTGTCACCCAGGCTGGACTGCAGTGGTGCAATCTCAGCCTACTGTGACCTCCACCTCCTGGGTTCAAGCAATTCTCCTGCCTCAGCCTCCCAAGTAGCTGGGACTACAGGCGTGTGCCACCATGCCTGGCTAATTTTTCTATTTTTAGTAGAGACAGGGTTTCGCCATGTTGGCCAGGCTGGTCTTGAACTCCTGACCTCAGGTGATCCACCTGCCTCAGTTGGGATTACAAGCTTGAGTCACCATGCCCAGCCTTCATTATTTATTTTTACATTCACTAATTAGATAGTCATGTAATCTACTTTCTTTTTCTTTTTTTTGAGATGGAGTCTTGCTCTGTTGCCCAGGCTGGAGTGCAGTGGTATGATCTCAGCTCACTGCAAGCTCCACCTCCTGGGTTCACACTATTCTCTTGCCTAAGCCTCCCGAGTAGCTGGGACTACAGGCGGCCACCACCACACCCAGCTAATTTTTTGTATTTTTAGTAGAGATGGGGTTTCACCGTGTTAGCCAGGATGGTCTTGATCTCCTGACCTTGTGATCTGCCCACCTTGGCCTCCCACAGTGCTGGGATTACAGGCATGAGCCACCGTGCCTGGCCCGGTAATCCATTTTCAAAACATGCTTAAAAGGTATTAAAATGACCCCTAGCGATGATTTAGAAGCTCTCTGTATTAGTGAAGTGATTGGGAAAATAGTAACAGTTTAATAAAAATCTTTCCATAATTCTTGGGCTTATGAAAGTAGCTTTTACTTCCCGTCTTCAGTAAACACGTGCAAATTTCTATAGTAGTTTCCATTACTCCTTTACAAGAGTTCATGTGAATGCCTCATATCTAAGAAATCCACGTAAGCCCTTGAATCTGACTAGGTACATTCAAAGGTGACATTTCAAGGCAAGACTTGAGCTGAAGCCATAAAGTTAGCTGCAAATCCCTTGAAATGATCTTTACTATTCTTGGTAAGTTTTTAAAAAAGAAAATAATTCCCAATATTTTGAAAGTTTTAAATTATAGTATACTGAATATTTTTACTGTTTTTTCATTTATCTAAACATTAATAACTGACAGTAAGAAGAGCCTTTTTTTGTTTAACATTTTGACAAGATTTGTAAAGGTCAAAAAACAA